GACCTTCCCTCCATACCAGGCAACATCCTGGTAAATCTCCTCTGCACCCTTTCCAATGCTTCCACATCCTTCCTATAATGCGGTGACCAGAACTGTACGCAATACTCCAAGTATTGGCCGCACCAGAGTTTTGTACAGCTGCAACATGACCTCATGGCTCCGAAACTCAATCCCTCTACCAATAAAACCTAACATACTGTACGCCTTCTTAACAACGCTATCAACCTGGGTGGCAACTTTCAGTGATCTATGCACATGGACAGACATGGAGCATGCACACCTTGGGGTGCTATGGAGCAATGCACTATCATAGAATCATAGAGTCATACAGTCATACAGCACGGAAACAGACCCTTCGGTCCAACCAGTCCATGCTGAAACATAATCCCAAACTAACCTAGTCCTACCTGATTACTCCTGGCCCATATCCCTCCAAACCGTTCCCATTCGTGTACTTATCAAAATGTCTTTTAAACGTTGTTATTGTACCCACATCCACCACTTCCTCATGGAGCATGCACGGTGTTAGGGTGAGCAGGAATGCTTTTGGGGACAAGCAGATTGTGCATGTTGTCTGGGAATATGGAGCATGTACACCATGGATTTTACATAACATGCACTCCACTGAGGGATACTGAACGTGAATACAGCTGAGCGATATGGAGCATGAATATTGTGGAGGAGCTGTGGGTATTGGATCTGGAATGCCCAGTGCAGGATTGCACACCATCTCTCTTTCAATGTATATACACACACACACACACACACACACGCACGTTATAATCAGAGCATGCCATTCAGCCCCTCAAACCTGCTCCATGATCTGAATAGAGCTTGTGTTTCGAATTTCACATGCCCATCTACCCTGATAAGCTTTGATTCTCTCGCTTACTAAAAAGTGATCTACCTCTGCCTTAAAAATATTTAACAACCTCGCCTCCACCACCTTGTAAGGCAAAGTTTCAAAGTTGCAAAATTCTCCTTGTACCTGTCCTAAAAGGGTGACCCATAATTTTAAAGTAGTGCCTCTGAGTTCTGGATTCATCCACAAGACAAAACAGAATTTCCACATCCATATTGTCAAGACTATTCAGGATCTTGTATACTCGAATCAGTGACTCTTTACTCAAGAGAGAAAACAAGCCAGTTTGCCCAATATTTCCTCATAAGGTGACCTTGAGATCAATCTAGCAAATAAAAACAAAGTAATATAGATCTCTTTCTCTCTCCACAGATGCTGCCAGACGTAGTGAGTTTCTCCAGCATTCCCTGTGTTTGTTTCAAATTTCCAGCATCTACAGTGTTTTGCTGTCAATTGAAAGTTAAGAGTGGTTGGCTTAATTTGCATCTCCCATCAAGTGGATTTTAAGAATAATAAAAGCTACCTCAGAGAAAATAAACGTAATAGCAAGACCACATCTGATTTTTTTTTTCCTCTGTTCATGGCCAGCCAGACAGGACAGGTCAGGAAGGAAGGCCCATTATCGAAGACATGGGGACCAGGGAGGAGAGGAAGGAGAAATCAAAGGGTAAAGGAGATTGACGATAATTGTGCAGAGCATGCGAATGGTGCGACAGTGCTGGAGGACAGAGGGCATTGAAGTGGGTACAGGCATCAGAGATTGGTCTGAATATCGAATAAATGGCATCCCTTGGATCGGTATTTGACCTGGAGATTTACGTTCTGTCAGATTAAATGAAGGCATTGGATTGTAGCAGGATGTAGTCTATGATTGTTGGTAGTCAGCAGATCTTAGGCTAGTCATGATTTGGTGGTGGAAGGGTCACCAGGTGGTTTTCAGATCACAGACAGCGAATTATGGTATGGTTAGCACACCAAGAGGGTTGGAGAGGCTATAAACTCTTCATAACCCTGCTTCCTGTAGGAACTCTATCCCATTTTCCTAGCTTCTCTGCGTTGTGAAAAGTCTAACTTCCATTCCAGTGCTTCTGATGCATCTTCATTTTTCCTCAAACAAGACTACCCCTTCAGAGATTGACAGGGCCCCTGACTGATCACTCTTATTCTTGCACTTCTGCTCCCATCTTTTGCCTTCCCTTTCAGAACCAGGATAAGGTTCACCTTGTCTTCAGCCTCCACATTCACCGGATTATCCTCCACAATCTCCAACACGAGGTGACCGCAACCACATATTCCCCACCTCTTCTTTCAGTATTCCTAAGTGATTGCCCCCTTTGTGACAATCTGATCCACGCCTTCATCATCTCTCAAAACAGCACCTACCCATGCAAACACAGGAGATGCAACAGTAGCCTCTTTCCTCCTCCCTTCCCATTGACCAGTGTTTTAAACATTCCTTCCAGGTGAAACAGAAAACTAATCGTATCTTTTTCAATAAAGGATATTGCATTTACTGTTTTTGACACATTTTCCTCTGCAATGGAGAGATCAAAGGCCAATTAGGTGGCCCCTTTGTAGAACACTTCTATTCAGTCTGTGTACGCCTAAGCTTTCAGTACCCTGGCATCATAATTTGTGTCCCATTGCCAATCTGATCTCTATGGTTTTAGCCATTGAAGCACAATGTAAAGGTTTGAGGAAAAACATCTCTTCATTTGATTAGGTACTTTACAAACTTCTGGACTCCGAAATAAATTCAATAATTTTAGATCATAAACTTTGCTTTCGTTTACCCAGACATCAGATTCTGTTATTGTCACTCTCATCTTCTCTAAACCTACCGTTTGTTTCTTAACTTGCCTCAGTACTATGTCTTTCATCATCATCCTTCTTGCTATTTAACTTCTTTTGCCATCCCCATGAACACAGTCCTTTGCTTTAGTCTTTCATAGAACATAACATAACAGAACAGAACAGAGCATTGAACCCATTGTGCTTATGCTGGCCCTCCTAAGGAACAATTCACATACTGCCATTCTCCTACCATCACTGCATACTTTTCCTCTTCAGATACTTAGAACACTTAGAAAATGTAGTTATTTTACAGCACAGATGAAGCCAATTTGTCCTTCATACCTGCGCACCTACTGAAAACTAAGCCATTCATACTAATCCATTAACCAGCACTTGGATCATATCCCTGGAGGTTACAGAACTTCAGGTACATATCAAGGCAACTTTTGAATGAGTTGAGGGTTTTTGTCTATAATGCTGTTTCATGCAGAGTTATAGATCCCTCCCACCCTTTGGGTGGAGAAAATCTTTCCTCATCTTCCGTCAAATGAATGGAAGAATGTAATTGCATTGGAGGCAGTTCAGAGAAAGTTCACTTGATTAATTCCAGAGATGAAAGACGTATCTTATGAGGACAGATTGAGCAGTTTAAGCCAATACTTGCTAGAGTTTAGAAGGATGAGAGGAGATCTAATGAGGGTATGTAAGATGCCAAAGAAGATGTGGAGAGGACATTCAGCAATTGGGAATGAGAAATCATAGTTTCAGGCTAAGGGGTGGCAGATTTAAAACTGAACTGAAGAGTCATTCCTTTTCTCAAAGGTTCATCAATCTCTGGAATTCACTACCCCATGATCCAGTGGACGCTGATACATTGAATACATTTGATGGGGAGACAGATTTTTAATTAGTCATGGGTTAAAGGGTTATGGAGAGTGGCAGGAAAGTTTGATCGATTGATTGATTTATTGTCATAAGTACTGAAGTACAATGAAAAGCTTTGTTTACGAGCAGTACAGGCAGATAATAGTAAGCAAAGATGTACAGATCAAAACGACTTAGACAGAGGCATACAGGTTACACTGCACAGGCCGTGCACTAAGCAAGATCTCGTGAGCAAGATCAATCATTATTTGAGGCTACAGAGTCCATTCATCAGTCTAATAACAGCCAGGAAGAATCTGTTCCTGACCCTGCTCATGCGTGTGTTCAGGCTTCTGTACCTTCTGCCTGACAGAAGAGGTTGTGGGAGGTCATTACCGGGGTGCGATGGGTCTTTGCTGATATTGGCAGCCTTTCCGCGGCAGCGAGCCCTGTAAATAGAGTCCATGGATGGAAGGTTGGCTTCCGTGATGGTCTGGACTGTACACATCACCTTCTGTAGTTTTTTTACACTCCTCGACAGAGCAGTTGCCATACCAGGCCGTTATGCACCTGGACAGCATGCTTTCAATGGTACATCTGTTGAAGTTGGTTGAGGTCATCATGGATGTGCCAAATATCCTGAGCTGCCTGAGGAAGAAGAGGTGCTGTTGTGTCTTCCTGACTGTCACATCTACATGGGAAGTCCAGGTTAGGTTATCGGTTGTCATCACTCCGAGGAAGTTGACGCCCTCCACCCTCTCAACCTCAGTTCCATTGATGTTGCTGGGGGCGTGTTCTCCTTTCTTTCTAAAGACAACAATCAGTTCTTTAGTTTTTCCAACGTTGAGAGAGAGATTGTTTTCATTGCATCACGTCACCAAGCCCTGTATCTCCTTTCTATATTTTGACTTGTCGTTGTTCGATATCTGTCTCACTATGATGTTGTTGGCAGCGAACTTGTAGATGGAGTTCAGGCTGAGATGAGACGAGCCATGATCATATTACATAGTGTAGCAGGCTCGACAGGCTGAATTGCCTACTCCTGCTCCTAGTTCTTGTGTTCCACTCCTTTTACCAGCCACTTAAAGTCTACGCCCCTCACCACAGACCCTTCTTTAAATGAACAAAATAGATCGTTTTCACTCAGACTATCCAGGACTCTCACAACCTTGTATACCTCAATCAAATTTCCCCTTAAAACTCCTCTGTTGCAAGGAAAAAAAACCTCGATCTATCCAATCTTTTCTCATAGGTTCAACTTTCCGGTTCTGACAAAATCCACACAATTCCCTCTAAGCCTCTCCAATGTAATTACATTCTTACTGTAATGTTGTTACAAGAATCACAAGCAGTGCTCAAGTTCTAGTCTAATTATTGTTTTATATAACTGTAGCAGAGCCACTTCACTTTCATATATTATACCTTGACTTTTAAAGGACAGTATTCCATTAGACATTTTAAACACTTTAACAACCTGTTCTGCCACTTTCAAAAGCTGTGTACATTCACTCCAAGGTTCATCAATCCTGCGGGAGTAGGACTGTCTGCCCTCTCTAGATGCTGCCACCTGAGTCTCAGGAAGGGTGAGCCCTATTATTCACATTTCCAGCAGCACCATTTCTGTCCATTGCTTCCATGACATTAGACTGTGAAGGAGCATCTCGTGGTGACACTCACAATGAAAACAGCCTAGCAACAAGATTCTGAAGCTCATCTTGTTCAACGAAGAGAACCAGATCAACAGGACAATAAAGAAACAGATCAATACAGCAGAGATAGTAGGAACTGCAGATGCTGGAAAATCTGAGATGACAAGGTGTAGAGCTGGATGAACACAGCAGGCCAAGCAGCATCAGAGGAGCAGGAAGGCTGACGTTTTGGGCCTAGACCCTTCTTCAGAAATGGGGGAGGGGAAGGAGGTTCTAAAATAAATAGGGAGAGAGGGGGAGGCGGATAGAAGATGGATAAAGGAGAAGACAGGTGGAGAGGAGACAGACAGGTCAGAGAGGTGGGGGTGGAGCCAGTAAAGGTGAGTGTAGGTGGGGAGTTAGGGAGGGGATAGGTCAGTCCAGGGAGGACGGACAGGTCAAGGGGGTGGGATGAGGTTGGGAGGTAGGAGATAGGGGTGGGGCTTGAGGTGGGAGGAGGGGATAGGTGGGAGGAAGGACAGGTTAGGGAGGCGGGGATGAGCTGGGCTGGTTTTGGGATGCGGTGGGGGAAGGGGAGATTTTGAAGCTTGTGAAGTCCACATTGATACCATTGAGCTGCAGGGTTCCCAAGCAGAATATGAGTTGCTGTTCCTGCAACCTTTGGGTGGCATCGTTGTGGCACTGCAGGAGGCCCAGGATGGACATGTTGTCTGAGGAATGGGAGGGGGAGTTGAAATGGTTCGCGACTGGGAGGTGCAGTTGTTTAGTGCGAACCGAGCATAGGTGACCTCCCACCCACAGCCTCCAACCTCATCGCTCCCCAACCCCGCACCGCCCGCTTCTATCTCCTTCGCAAAATCCACAAACCTGACTGCCCTGGTCGACCCATTGTCTCCGCCTGCTCCTGCCCCACCGAACTTATCTCCACCTATCTCAACTCCATTTTCTCCCCCTAGATCCAGGAACTCCCTACCTATGTCCACGACACCACCCACGCCCTCCACCTCCTCCAGAACTTCCAATTCCCTGGTCCCCAACACCTCATCTTTACCATGGACGTCCACTCCTTATACACCTGCATTCCCCATACAGATGGCCTAAAGGCCCTCTGCTTCTTCCTGTCCCGCAGGCCCAACCAGACCCCTCCACTGAGACCCGCATCCGCTTAGCTAAACTCGTCCTCACCCTCAACAACTTCTCTTTCAATTCCTCCTACTTCCTACAGACAAAGGGGGTGGCCATGGGTACCCAAATGGGCCCAAGCTATGCCTGCCTCTTTGTAGATTACGTGGAACAATCCCTCTTCCGTAGCTACACTGGCCCTAAACCCCACCTCTTCCTCCATTACATTGATGACTGTATCAGCACCACCTCGTGCTCCCACGAGGAGCTTGAACAGTTCATCCACTTCACCAACACCTTCCACCCCAACCTTAAGTTCACTTGGACCATCTCTAATACCTCTCTCTCCTTCCTGGACCTCTCTGTTTCCATCTCTGGCAACCACCTAGAAACCGATATCCATTTCAAGCCCACCGACTCCCACAGCTACCGAGAATACACCTCCTCCCACCCACCTTCCTGCAAAAATGCCATCCACTATTCCCAATTCCTTTGCCTCTGCCGCATCTGCTCCCAGGATGAGGCATTCCACTCCTGTACATCTCAGATGTCCTCGTTTTTCAAGGACCGCAACCTCCCCCCCTCAGTGGTCGAGAACGCCCTCGACCGTGTCTCCTGCATTTCCCGCAACTCATCCCTCACACCCCCTCCCCGCAATAACAACCAAAACATGATCCCCCTCGTCCTCACGTACCACCCCACCAACCTCCGGATCCAACGCATCATCTTCCGACACTTCCGTCATCTGCAATCCGACCCCACCATCAAAGACATTTTTCCCTCCCCACCCTTATCTGCTTTCCGGAGGGACCACTCTCTCCGTGACTCCCTTGTCCGCTCCACACTCCCCTCCAGCCCCACCACTCCTGGCACTTTTCCCTGCAACCGCAGGAAGTGCTACACCTGCCCCTACACCTCCCTCCTCACTCCCATCCCAGGTCCCAAGAAGACTTTCCACATCAAGCAGATGTTCACCTGCACATCTGCTAATGTGGTATACTGCATCCGCTGTTCCCGTTGTGGCCTCCTGTACATCGGGGAAACCAAGCAGAGGCTTGGGGACCGCTTTGCAGAACACCTACGCTTGGTTCACACTAAACAACTGCACCTCCCAGTCGCGAACCATTTCAACTCCCCCTCCCATTCCTCAGACGACATGTCCATCCTGGGCCTCCTGCAGTGCCACAATGATGCCACCCAAAGGTTGCAGGAACAGTAACTCACATTCTGCTTGGGAACCCTGCAGCTCAATGGTATCAATGTGGACTTCACAAGCTTCAAACTCTCCCCTCCCCCTACCGCATCCCAAAACCAGCCCAGCTCGTCCCTGCCTCCCTTACCTGTCCTTCCTCCCACCTATCCCCTCCTCCCACCTCAAGCCCCACCCCCATCTCCTACCTACCAACCTCATCCCACCCCCTTGACCTGTCCGTCCTCCCTGGACTGACCTATCTCCTCCCTAACTCCCCACCTACACTCACCTTTACTGGCTCCACCCCCACCTCTCTGACCTGTCTGTCTCCTCTCCACCTGTCTTCTCCTTTATCCATCTTCTTTCTGCCTCCCCCTCTCTCCCTATTTATTTCAGAACCTCCTTCCCCTCCCCCATTTCTGAAGAAGGGTCTAGGCCCGAAACGTCAGCCTTCCTGCTCCTCTGATGCTGCTTGGCCTGCTGTGTTCATCCAGCTCTACACCTTGTTATCTCTATATAAAGATCTTCCTAACTTGGCTATGCAAATATACTGAAAGAAAACAAGTGAAGTGTTAATCACTCTTGGTGGTGTACTTGAAGAAGCCTATTGTTGACTAGCAAGTAACCCTGAGGTGGAGTTCAAAAAATAAAAAAGAGTTAATGGAAACCTGATCATGTTGAAAGAGGTAACACAGTGTGGAGCTGGAGGAACACAACAGGCCAGGCAGCATCAGAGGATCAGGAAAGCTGAATTTCGGGTCGGGACCCTTCTTCAGAAATGGGGGAGGGGGAAGGGAGCTCTGAAATGAATAGAGAGAGGAGGGGTGGGGCTGGGAAAGGTAGGTGGGATGGTGATAGGTGAGTGCAGGTAGGCAGTGCTGGGGATTGGTCAGTGAGGTAGGAGGAGCGGATAGGTGGGAGAGAAGACGTACAGGTTGTGTCAGGTCAAGGAGACGGGGATGAGAGGGAGGGTTGGTCATGTGATGAGGCCGGGGATGGGGAGATTTTGAAACTGGTAAAGTCCACATGTTGAAAGAGGACGGTCTACTGTGCTCCTCTGTCTTGATTTCACCACACTGAAACTATAACCTTATTCATCACAGCTTATAGGTAAAACTTGCTTTTCAAACCCTGTCACGTAAGTCAGTGGTACATAACTGAAATTACATTTTTCATGTAGATTAACTCATTGGCATTCAGCTCAAATTGGAGACTGCTTTAACACATAATTTCTACATCTTTAAAAAGATATTAGGCTAAATGTCTGGAAATGAAAACATACACAGCATTTGTTTAAATTAACTTTAGCAAACATTAAAAAAGTAGCAATTTGATGCCAATGATAACTACTGCTTTTGTTGAATCAGAACACAGCTGTCATTTATCATGATTCTTAGGAGGTCAAGCAAGAAGTTGAGTCTCAATTGCATTGCAGAACAACTACATTTCCATACACAACTGAACATCTCCACTGTTCTCCAATAGCAATTAGCTGTCTGAATGCAATCTGCTTTACAAAAATTAGTATTTTATACTGTTTACCTTTGCAAGCTCTTGTTGCGGCCATATTTGTATTGGTTCTACTTGCTGGGGCGTTTGCGTCTGTATTCCATATGTGTTGAGAAATACTTGCAGGCTACAAGCACAGAATTTAGTTTAGTAATACAACATATGCTAGTAAAAGTCTTGTAAAGTTCTATGTCCGAATTTTTTGTCCAATTTAGTAATGCTGAGACATTAGTTACGATTGAATTAGTATTCTCAGTTTGTCAGCTGTGTAATCTCTTGGCAAAAGAACAAATGAATACTGTAGATGAGGCACAAACTTATAACTGTCTGCCTAATGGGCTTTGCATCACATACCGCTGGCTTTCAGCAATCAGGGCCACGTGAACTACGACGTCGTTTTCTGCAAGACCCTGAAAGATGACAAAAATGGATAAATGTCAAATATAATGCAAATTATGAAACTATGCTATAAACTTTGAAATAGAAGGAAAATTAGTAAAAGGGAGCAAAATATATTCATGCGCCTTATTGCTGATATATCTACTTTGCAGTCAATGTAGTTTTGCTGAGAAAGCTATGCAACACTGTATAGCTAAACCCATTAATTTAACAAGTACCCAAAGGGGTTTACTGTCAACACTGTTTGTATGATACATAACTTGCTTGGTGAAATACATTCTTCTACACTATCAGTAAACATCAAAAGGCAGGGTACTGTATCTAATGGTCCGAAGCAATAAAACATTTGTGATATATTATGCATTATTCAGCAGATTTTACTGCAGCATTAGAGATAAAGGCGCAGCATTTCAGGATTTTAATATGCTTCATACAGAAATTATTTCAGTGATGTTGAAGAAACTTTGTTGATAAACAATCAAAATAAAAAATTATAATTATACTTTACATAATACTCTACACAATATTGTTTGTGCAATGACACAAGCAGCCAACAAATGATACCATTTTGCCATCCACATTCCTGTAGAAAATTATTTAATATTATTTAGAATGAGAAGAACAGGCCGTCTCTTTGGCTCATATTTGTAGTGTTTTAATAAATCCACAGGACAAAAAGGCACTATTTGAAAATCACTTGTACATATCTGGACATTTATTTGGCTGGAGGGGAGGGGAAGAAAAAATACTAACTAAACCACTACTGTGCAATGTCTAATGTATTTCTGCTCAACCCTGGGGAAACAAATAGCAATTGTACCCAACACAGAAGGAGGAGCAAAACAAATGTCCTGACCATTTCTTCAGCAGCTTCCAGCAGTCCTTATAAGGACAGCTGCCAAGGACACTGTAGAACTAGACAATTTGTTGGAATTTGGATGATGCAAGCTTCACAACCTATCACGCATTTCATATAACAGTCTTATTATGACTAGACCCTGGGTTAGGTTCCCCAAGTTATCATGATTACATATGGATACTCCAAATCATTAACCCTCTCGGTGAGGAGGGAAGAGCTGATTCCCTTTAGTTGTTCACTCATCTCCTCAAGTGGTCACACCAAAATTAATTTAAAAAGGATTCCTCCCTTGTGGATGCCTTTCTCACAGAACAAATGAATTTATGTGTTGGAAGGAGTCAATGTAACCTGGCTTTTTAAAATTAACACAAAAGAGTGAGTTTATTAATTAGTTAACACAAAAGAAATAATTATACAGAGATCTCCACAAACTATAAATATTTAACACACACAGACAGGGTTGCAATCAGTTTTATACCTTTATTGTATATTCCTGTAAGAGTAAACAGAAAACAATGTCTGTAAAATATGGCTTTCTGCTGAAAGGAGGAAGATAGACCTTCATTGTCTCTTCCTTTTACATATCTCTCTGTTTGAAGTTTCCCTGGCACTTTACAGTTGGGACATTCTATGTGGCCCAACTAGGACTTTGCCAGACAGCACTGAATTTACATATGCTGTCTTTTTTTTTGTCTGTAGCAACCTTGTTCAAAAAACACATTTTGAAATTAAAAGTTAAAAAATGACCACAGTACTTCGGTGTTCTGATCTGTTGTCATGACTCTTCTCCTGCAGAATGAAGGAGATGGGATCCCTTCTCCTTTCATTGCAAAGGTGGAAAATAATCAAATATACTAATCAACCAGCACACTTACATACACACATTCATTTTCCTAGCCTCCACCAAAATGAAATTTTCAGTTCTCACCAGGTCTTCTGCCATTTGGTGCCAGTGCATTCTTAGTAGAATTAGGGGAAATTACTTTTGAGGACTTAAAAACTCTGTCCCTTGAACAGCTAAAAGATTTAGTGAAGCAATTAGGATTAGATTATTCACTCAAAATCTAGAAAACCAGAAATTTTAAAAGGGGCAAACAAAGGTTGAGAGGTGGAAATTGAAGACAATGAAACTGATAGCATAGCAGTAAAGATTAAATTTGGAATAGCGAAATTAGAATTGCAAGTATAAGAAAGGAAAAGATAGAGACAAAAGGGAAAAAGAGACAGAGATGGGAAAGGGAGGAAAGAGCAATTTCAAAAACATAGTGGAAAAGGAATATGAACCAAGACAACTTCAGTTGAGAAGCAGGAACCTTAATGTGTCACAGTCTTAAGGGTGAAGCCAAAATGCTCATTTAACTCTGAAGTTTGAGTAGGCATAAATAGAAGCTTTTTTTTTCTCTTTTGAGTAGGAAGAGACAAATGAATCTATGACAAGAAAAGCAAAAGCAGTAAAAGTGACCAGGCCAACATTAGCTGTTATTACTACAGAGTAGGCTTTTGAGAAAAGTGCATAAGTTTTACTGAGAGTTACTGGGATTTTGAATCCATACAAAGGGTGGCCACATTTCCCTAGGGTGAAGTGAGCAAGCATGTAGTGATACTGAGAAATACTGGGGCCTCCCAAACTGTCCTGCTGGGAAAAGGCATGATCTTCCCACCAATTAATGCAGTAAGTGCTAAGGTTGTGGTAAAAGGGTTCAAGGACAGTACGTGCCCATTCCTCTTACTGGATGCATCTAGAGCTGGAGTGGGATCAGTGACCGTAGGAGTTGCTCCCACTTTGTCTACAGACAGGTTTGACCAGTCCCTCAGTGATGACCTAGTGGGATCAAAGTTAATAGCACTCCTCTGGTCTCTGAGAAGCCCACCGAGTCAAAGCGTCCAAACAGCCACAGGTGGTGGTGCCAGGCATTTTCTCCAGATTATGTGATTGCATGGTTTATGGCCAGGCTAGTTCAGCCAATGGAGGCTGAGGTGGAGACGCTCTGGTCTGGTTATGTGAAACCAGTTTCTGGGAGTCTAGAAGACCTCAAGGAGGTAATAAATTCCTTGCTGGTTGCTGTATAATTTGATATACTGTTAACAATGCTAATTCAGACTACTCAGACTGAAGCTGCAGCAGAAGCAGTTTCTGCATGTTACTATATTAAAATGAGGTGTTGATAAGGACACAGACCTGCAAAAAAGGAGTGATCCACCAGGTAGTTGTGGACTGAGATACCACAAGGAAATACTATGGCTAGCTCACGAAATTCTAATGGCTGGCCATGTCAGTATATGAGAAAACCAAGCCTGCATCAGCCAGTATTTTTATTGGCTACAGTTCCACAAGAATACAGTAATGTTTGCAGAACTGTCCACACCTGCCAGGTGTGGGAAAACCTAAACCTGCAGTTAAGGCCTGTCCTTACCATGCCTGTTCCAGTTTTTAGGGAACCATTCAACACGGTGTTACTGGACTCTGTGGGATCCCTACCATCATAGACATGGTCATTCATTTTTCACAGATTTTCCTGACAACTGTTTATGGCATACTGGCCACCTGAAGTGTGCTAGCAAACATATCAATAAATATGTGGTTGGGTATAAATCATAAGACAGCAGGGAGGAAAGACCAGCCAGCACACACCTTCCAAATCTACCCCACAGTTCAACACACCTATTTAAGCACCCAAGGAAATGTTATGCAAATTTGTCATTGATCCACAAAAACAATCCATCAACATTCTATAGTATTTTTATTTGTAGCTCCAACATCCAACCCAAACCAGTTAGTTGCTAGAAAAAGAAATTTTCAAAGTCCTAACTATTAATGACACAGTACCGTCGGTTCTGCTATAGTGTGATAGTTGTGCTCCCGTCCAAGATCGTATTACAGAAAATCGTGCTATAGAAATAACGGGGCCTCTGGGAAAAGTGGTGTTAGAGGCAGACCACCAAAAAATATCACTCAAAAATCCTCAAAAATCACTCAAAAGCCTAACACAAAGTATAGCACAGTTTGAATAAATGTTTTAATTCATATCTAATAATGAAATAAAAGTTAATTTACCTTAAAAAAAATGTCAAGATGACTTGATGGGGGAGGAGGTCTTGAGGTTGCTCTGTTGTTAATGCAGGGGCTTGAGGGTCGGTGTCATCATCATCATTATCATCACTTTCAGATGCAGTTGTGGTTGCAGGGTTAGGGCGAAAAATGATTAATCCAGAAGTAGATGGCTGTGGTTCATTGTCTTCTGACAGTTTCTTGGGGGTTGGCTTAAAAAAGACATCCAGTTTTTGCTGCTATGCCCTTTTTTTTCTTTCATGAACGAGCTGTTCATAGGGCACCAAATAAGATCTTATTCCACGAACTGCTACCCTGCTGTGTTCTGCATTGTAATCGTTGTCCTCTAAGAGCTGCAAATGCTTCTCAATTTCCTTCAGGATAGAAGACAAAACAGAAGTGAAAAGTTCTCATGGGGCTGCATCCTGGACTTCAGCTTCTTCATCTCCAGCTTCCACTTCTCCCTCAGCGACAAGCTGTTGTAGATCAGCTGTAGAGAGGTCTTCACAGTAGGACTCAAGCAGCTCTTCAACATCCTCACTCTCCACTTCTTCAAATCCAACTTGCTTTGCAAGATCAACACAATTTTCTTTGATTCTTGGGAGCTCCTCTCTTGGGTCAAAGACTTTAAAATCTTGAAAAAAATCTGGGAGAAGCTTCCGCCAAACTGCATGCAACCAGTCCTTACTGACATCAACCGAGGCCTCCAGGATAACATCAATTGCATTTTTGATATTAAAGCTCTTCCAAAATTGAAGAACGCTGTCCTTATCCCCCTCAATGGTTGCAATCAGCCTCTTAAATGTGCTCCTTAAATAATAAGCTTTAAAAGTTGCCATTGCACCCTGGTCCATGGGTCACGTGACGCTGACGCAGAAACTCTTTCGGTGCTAACATTGCGCGTATTCAGGACAAAACCTGCAAAACGATCATGAGATGCCAGCGCAGACACTCTTTCAGCGCTAACACTGTGCATGCTCAGGACAAAGCCCATGAAATGATCATGCGATGTTGACGCATATTCTTCCATGCACTGATGGAATCATGTTGTAGCCAACACAAGTTCCCATTTTAGAAATAGCGTTCGCCTATTTGTCAATTGG